TGATTGGTCCCGGTTGCGATTCCTGCCTTGTTGAATGGTCCGGTTTTGGGTGAAGGAAAAGGACATTTGGTCGGGGTATGGTTTGTTGCAAGTCTTGAAAGGGAATAATACCCCCCGGGGGGCTGTTTTTTCGCCGGAAAACCTTAGGGTTTGGCTCAATGGTTAATTGAGAGGGTGAGACAGGGTTAGGGTTTTTTTCTAGAAGAGTACAGGAAGGCACTGGAGCAAAATATTTTTTTTAAGGAACTTTAGGATAAGGGGGTTTCGCACAGAGTCTTGTTATTCGTTTTTGTGCTGGGGAAATTTTTTTAAACCTAGATTTGTGGAAATTTTTTTATTTGCTATTGTATTGTAAAAGAATAAAAAGGGTTAGGATTAAAATAGTTAAAAAAATTTTGGACAATTGTCCTAGTTCCCCGATATTTTAAATTGGGGGAAAAAAGGGGGATTGATGCAGTTCAGATGGGTGTAGGTCTCTAGGGAGACTAATTTATGGTCACCCTGCCCTTTCAAATGTGGGTTTGTCTGCCCCCGTTGAGGTCTTTTGTTTTAACGGCGTCAGACTCAGCGTAGGTCGTAACAGTGGTACATCCCCATTGGGGAGGGGGTACTTTGACTCGATATAAGCCCAGGGAAAAAGCGGGCAAAAGGGGGTTTTTGGTGACAGGGCCCGGGAAACGAAGAGTCTGGACGCCCCCGGTGTGTGGACCACGCATGGGAATTCGGGCAGTGGTCGGTGAAATTTAAGAGTGAGTACTGTCGGTTATGATAACACACCCTTCCCCCCGGTAAAAAGTCTCTAGGTCAATTGTTATATTGTGTAAAAATTTATAGGTTTTTTTTGTATTTTTAGCCCTTTTATGTTATTAAGTAAACTTAGCATTTCCCATTTTTTTTTGTACCTTATATGCTATTCCCCATTCTGTTAAAACTGGGATAACAGGAGAAGTGCTCACTCGCGGGGATCCCCAGGTAGAGTGGGTAAGGTGTACAGGGGGCCCCGGGTGCCGAGACTCCAGGACTGGGGGGGGGGGGGGTGGGTGCACGAGATCCCCCGGACTCGGGGGGGGGGGGCCCTGGGCTGCACGAAACTCCCAGGACTGGGGGGGGGGGGGGGGGGGGCCTGGGCTGCCGAGACTCCAGGACTCGGGGGGGGGGGGGGGGGGGGGGGGCCCGGGCGCACGGACTTCCAGGACTCGGGGGGGGGGGGGGTGGGCTGACGGACTCCAGGATCGGGGGGGGGGCCTGGGCTGCCGAGATCCCCGGACTCGGGGGGGGGGCCCGGGTGCACGAGAATCCCGGACTCGGGGGGGGGGGGCCCGGGGGGCACGAGACTCCCCGGACTCGGGGGGGGGGCCCCGGGGTGCACGGATCCCGGGCTCGGGGGGGGGGCCTGGGGTGCCGAGACTCCAGGGTCGGGGGGGGGGGGGGCCCGGGAAGCCGAGATCCCAGGATGGGGGGGGGGGCCCCGGGGTACGAGACTCCCCGGGGTCGGGGGGGCCCCGGGGTGCACGAGACTCCCCCGGGCTCGGGGGGGCCTGGGGGGGCCCGGCATCAGGGTGGGGGGGGGGCCCCGGGGTGCACGAGATCCCAGGATCGGGGGGGCCTGGGGTGACGGGATCCCGGACTCGGGGGGGGGGGCCTAGGGTGCCGAGACCCCGGACTCGGGGGGGGGGGGGGGGGGGGCCTGGGTGCCGAGAATCCCGGACTCGGGGGGGGGGGGGGGGCCTGGGTGCACGAGGGATCCCAGGACTCGGGGGGGGGGGGGTCCTGGGGGGCCGAGACTCCCGGATGGGGGGGGGTCCTGGGGTGCCGAGACTCCCGGGCTCGGGGGGGGTCCCGGGGGTGCACGAGGGCTCCCAGGGCTCGGGGGGGGGGTGGGGTGCACGAGCTCCCAGGCCGGGGGGGGGGGCCCGGGGTGCACGGACTCCAGGACTGGGGGGGGGGCCCGGGGTGCACGAGCTCCCCGGGGCTCGGGGGGGGGGGGTCCTGGGGTGCACGAGATCCCCGGCTGGGGGGGGTCCTGGGGGCACGGACTCCGGATCGGGGGGGTCTGGGGTGCACGAGACCCCGATCGGGGGGGTCCTGGGGGGTGCACGGGGACTCCCAGGGGTCGGGGGGGGGCCTGGGGGCCGAGCTCCCCCGGGTCGGGGGGGGCCCGGGGTGCACGAGACTCCCAGGAGGGGGGGGGGCCTGGGGTGCACGGACCCCCGGGCTCGGGGGGTCCTGGGGTGCCGAGACTCCCGGATCGGGGGGCCTGGGGTGCACGAGACTCCCAGGACTCGGGGGGGTCCCCGGGGTGACGAGACTCCCAGGACTCGGGGTCTGGGGGTTTTCCGAGATCCAGGACCGGGGTCCCGGGGTGCACGAGTCCCCCGGACTGGGGTCCTGGGGGCAGAGACTCCCGGACTCGGGGGTCCTGGGGGTGCAACGAGATCCCAGGACTCGGGGTCCTGGGGTGCCGAGACTCCCGGAATCGGGGTCCTGGGGGTGACGAGCTCCAAAGGGGTCGGGGGGCTGGGTGCACGGCTCCCGGAATCGGGGGCCTGGGTGACGGTCCCAGGAATGGGGTCCTGGGGTGCACGAGATCCCCGGACTCGGGGTCCCGGGGTGCCGAGACTCCCAGGATCGGGGTCCTGGGGGGGCACGAGACTCCCAGGACCGGGGTCCTGGGGTGCCGAGCTCCCCGGTGGGGTCCCGGGGTGCCGGGGATCCCCGGATCGGGGTCCCGGGGTGCACGAGACTCCCCGGATGGGGTCCCGGGGGGCACGGACTCCCCCGGGTCGGGGTCTGGGGTGCCGAGACTCCAGGGGGTGGGGTCTGGGGTGCAAGGGGTCCAGGACTCGGGGTCCGGGGTGCACGAGACTCCCCGGGTCGGGGGTCCTGGGGTGAGGCTCCCGGACTCGGGGGTCCTGGGGTGCAGAGCTCCCCGGACTCGGGGTCCCGGGGTGCCGGACTCCAGGTCGGGGTCCCCCCCCGGGGGCACGAGATCCAGGACGGTCCGGGGTGCCGAGACTCCCAGGACTCGGGGTCTGGGGTGACGAGCTCCCCGGACCGGGGGGGCCTGGGGTGCACGAGACCCAGGATCGGGGTCCCGGGGGGGGCACGAGACTCCAGGACTCGGGGTCCTGGGGTGACGAGACTCCAGGGGCTCGGGGTCCTGGGGTGCCGAGATCCAGGCTCGGGTCTGGGGTGCCGAGACTCCCGGACTGGGGTCCTGGGGGCAGGGGACCCCAGGACCGGGGTCCCGGGGGCACGAGACTCCCAGGACTCGGGGGCCCGGGGTCACGGCTCCCAGGACCGGGGGTCCTGGGGTGCACGAGACTCCCGGACGGGGTCCTGGGGTGCACGAGATCCCGGACTCGGGGTCTGGGGGCACGAGACCCAGGCTGGGGGCCTGGGGTGCACGGACTCCCCGGACTCGGGGTTGGGGGCACGAGATCCCAGGGGCTGGGGGGCTGGGGTGCACGAGACTCCCCGGACTCGGGGGGGGCTGGGGTGCCCCGGACTCCCAGGCTCGGGGGGTCCTGGGGTGACGAGATCCCCGGATCGGGGGGCCCCCCCGGGGTGCAGAGACTCCCCGGGCTGGGGTCTGGGGCCGAGACTCCCAGGCCGGGGTCCGGGGGGCAGGACTCCCAGGATCGGGGGGGCCTGGGGTGCACGGGGCTCCCGGTCGGGGTCCTGGGGTGCACGAGACCCCAAAGGGCTCGGGGCCCTGGGGTGCACGAGACCCAGGACTCGGGGTCCTGGGGTGCAGGACTCCAGGGCTCGGGGTTTTTGGGGTGCACGAGATCCAGGACTCGGGGGGCCTGGGGTGCACGGGCCCCGGACCCGGGGTCCTGGGGTGCACGAGGGTCCCAGGGTCGCGGCCCGGGGTGCACGAGACTCCCCGGGTGCAGAGACACCCAGGCTGGAGTCCGGATGCACGGACACCCAGGAGTGCACCCGAAACCCCAGGAGGCACCAGACAAACAGGAGTGCCCCGACACCAGGATGGAGTGCCGAGACACCCTGGGTGCACGAACACCCTGGAGTGCACGAGACACCCAGGAGTGCAGAGACACCCAGGGTGCCGAGACACCCCGGGGTCCGAGACACCTGGGAGTGCAGAGACACCCCGGGTGCACCCGACACCTGGAGTGACCAACACCCTGGAGTGACCAGACACCCCGGGTGCACCAGACACAGGATGGAGTCACGAGGGCACCCCCGGGGTGCACGGACACCCCGGATGGAGTGCAGAGGGACCCTGGGGGTGAAAGAGAACCAGGATGGAGTGCACGAGACCCCTGGAGTGCACGAGACCCCTGGAGTGCACGAAAACACCCGGAGTGCACCAGACACCAGGACTGGAGTGCACGAGACACCCGGAGTGCCCAGACACAGGATGGAGGCACCAGACACCGGACTGGAGGACAGACCCCTGGAGTGCCCCGGGCACCCTGGAGTGCACGAGAAAACCCCGGAGTGAGAGCACCCTGGGGTGCCGAAACCCTGGAGTGCCGAGACACCCCGGGTGCACCGACACCTGGAGTGCACGAAACCCCTGGAGGGGCCCAAAAACCCCGGGTGCACGAGACACCCTGGAGTGCACGAGACACCCCGGAGTGCACGAGACACCCCGGAGTGCACGAGACACCCTGGAGTGCACGAGACACCCAGGACTGGAGTGCACGAGACACCCAGGACTGGAGTGCACGAGACACCCTGGAGTGCACGAGACACCATGAAGCAACAGTTGAAGTGCTTCACCTCAACTCTCCCCTCAAACACCTCACCTCACACACTTAACAAGACTCCCGTCATGTCTATCACGTCTATTATCGTCATGTCTTACAAAATAACACAAGATAATGGATGATAATGTTGATGGAGGATAAATATAACCAAAATATTTGGTGTGGTTCGTGGCCGTCAGTTTTCCCAGGCGGAACACAGCTTAAAGCTTCATTGTTATGCTCGTAGCTTCACCAGTTAAGCTTGCAAGCTTAGCCACTCACCTTGACTATTAAGCTGAAGTAAGAGAGCAGTAAGATCCTGCACAAGATTCACAAGTCTTGAATAATAACTTGTAAGATGTAAACAAAACAGAGGAAGACTCACACTGACTCATCAGTTTCTAAATCACTCCAACATTCACCGCCATCCATTACATTATCTTATTTACCTCGCTTTTACTCACATAATGTTCCATAAATAAAACAAATTTACCATTACTTTATTTTGTATATAAATGTAATTATTGTGAATATTGTGAAAGTTCATTTTAGGTTATTAATTTGTTATGTAAAAGGAAATGTTGGTAGTTTTAGAAAAAATTCCAACAGTGGGAACTCCCACCAGTATTTAAATGGCTTCCCACGAGCGTATTTTATCTCTATAATTAATTAATTATTAGAGCCATTGGCTGGCTAAATATATTGAAATAAAAATACGCAAGTGATGAACATGTGTCTCATTCATCATCTCTCCAAGAGAGAACCCGCAGTAATGGATTTAAATTAGATAAGTTTAGATTTAGAAAGGACATAGGAAAGTATTGGTTTGGAAATAGGGTAGTTGATGAGTGGAACAGTCTACCTAGTTGGGTTATTGAGGCTAGGACTTTGGGTAGTTTCAAATTTAGGTTGGATAAATACATGAGTGGGAGGGGTTGGATTTGAGTGGGACTTACACATCAGAGCTTATTTCTTGGGTAGCATTGAAAATTGGGTTGGGAAATGTTTTGTTAGTGGGATGAATTGTAAAGGACCTGCCTAGTATGGGCCAACAGGCCTGCTGCAGTGTTCCTCCTTTCTTATGTTCTTATGTTCTTATGTATAACATTATTGTAATAAATGCCTGAGTAATAAAGTCATGTTATCTGACTTTTCTCGAATTATTGAGGGTCATTTACACATGTTAAACTATGTATGTATCTTTTCTGAAGATGATGATGATGATGAAGATGATGAAGATGATGATGATGATGAGCCAACTTAAGAGAATTTACAGGCATACTAAGAGCTGTGATAAGAGAGAAGAAATTATGCCTGAAATATATCTTTATTGCTACCAGTACATTCAAAGTTCAATTCAATTCAATTCAAAGTTTATTCTCTATAAAGATTACAATGTTGAATTTACAGAATTTGGTTGTTGTGTGGTTTACATGTAGTTAAATAATGATTACAGAGTGTACCACTAGAACGCCTAGCATGGCTAGGCATTTCGGGCAGATTTAGTTTAATTTTTTATTTTAAAATATTACAAATTATGAGGTAAGTTGGTATTATGGCTAAGTGACTAAATACTAGTTTGTGAGTTTAGCAATGTGAATGTTTTTGTTTTGGCACAGTACATAGTTTCAGTATTGGAGTATCACAGGATTCATTATTTTAAGATTGAGATTAATATTTCTGTTTATGGTCAAATGAGTGAGCGAGTGTAAGTGTGAACCACCAGGTGGTATTCGTGTAGTTAATTGATGGGGTGTATCAGGGAGATAAGATGTTTTCTAATGGTAGTTTTGAAGGTGATGAATGTGTCTGCAGTTCTAGAGTTCTCAGGTAGGGTGTTCCAGATTTTAGGGCCTTTGACATACATTGAATTTTTGTAAAGGTTTAGTCGGACACGGGGAATGTCGTAGAGATGTTTGTGTCTGGTGTTATGCCTGTGGGTTCTGTCACAACTATCAAGAAAGCGTTTTAGGTCAAGGTTGATATTGGAGTTTAAGGTCCTGTAGATCAGATTGCACAGTAGTAAGTGTGGATGTACTGAACAGGGAGTAAGTTTAGATCTGTGAAGAGTGGGGGGGTGTGTTGCCAGGGATGGGATTTAGTGATTATTCTTACTGCAGCTTTTTGTTGGGTTATTATTGGCTTTAGGTGTGTTGCTGCAGTTGATCCCCAAGCACAAATAGCATAGGTGAGGTATGGATATGCAAGTGAATGGTATAGTGTGATAAGGGCAGTTTGCGGCACGTAGTATCGTATCTTGGAGAGGTTCCCAACCGTTTTGGATACTTTTTTGGTTATGTGTTGGATATGGGTGCTGAAATTCAGGTTGTTGTCAAGGTATAGGCCAGGTATACCAGTACATGGTTGTTAAGACACATGGGCAACACTTAAGCAACTTTATTCCGAAACGTTTCGCCTACACAGTAGGCTTCTTCAGTCGAGTACAGAAAGTAGGCAGGAGTAGTAGAGATGTGAAGACGATGTAATCAGTCCATCACCCTTGAAGTCGTAGATTTGAGGGTGATGGACTGATTACATCGTCTTCACATCTCTACTGCTCCTGCCTACTTTCTGTACTCGACTGAAGAAGCCTACTGTGTAGGCGAAACGTTTCGGAATAAAGTTGCTTAAGTGTTGCCCATGTGTCTTAACAACCATCCTGTCGGTATTGTGTACCATTTTGATATTCATACCAGTACATGTACAAGCTATACAAGTACATGTACAAGCTATACAAGTACATGTACAAGGTATACAAGTACATGTACAAGGTATACAAGTACATGTACAAGGTATACCAGTACATGTACAAGGTATACAGATCATACCTGACATCAATGACATACTACTATATAGAAAGCCGCTTGTATGCTGAGCATTTCCCGCCAGTTCAATCAATCAAGTTTATTCTCTATAAGGATTACAGTGCGGGGTTTACAGATTTTGGTTATTGTGTGGTTTACATAAAGTAAAATACTAATTACAGAGGGGGCCACTAGGACACCTAGCATGGCTAGGCATTTCGGGCAAACTTAGATTAATTCTTAACCCTAAATTATTACAAATTATGAAGTAAGTTGACTAAATACTAAGCTACTAAATACTAGTTTGTGAGTTTAGCAATGTGAATGCTTTTGTTTTGGCACAACACATAGTTTCTATATTGGAGTATCACAGGCAAACTTATGATTAGTTAGGAATCATTATTTTAAGATTAAGATTCGTTTTTCTGTGCGTATAGTCAAATGGGTGAGTGAGTAAGTGTGAACCACCAGGTGGTATTCGTGTAGTTAGTTGACGGGGTGTATCAGGGAGATAAGATGTTTTCTAACGGTAGTTTTGAAGGTGATGAATGTGTCTGCAGTTCTAGAGTTTTCAGGTAGGGTGTTCCAGATTTTGGGGCCTTTGACATACATTGAATTTTTGTTAGGTCAGTTTTGTCCCAGGATGCGACCCACACCAGTCCACTAACACCCAGGTACCTATTTTACTGCTAGGTAAACATGGACAGCAGATGTCGTAAGGAAATACTTCTTAATGTTTTCACCCATACCGGGATCGAACCACGGAGCTCACTGTGTAACCGAGTGCGTTACCAACCCAGCTACGGGACACGATCCTCACTTGCTTCTCCCACCACTGATGTCTGGGGGTGAGACTCTGGACACGACCCTCACTTGCTTCTCCCACCACTGATGGCTGGGGGTGAGACTCTGGACACGACCCTCACTTGCTTCTCCCACCACTGATGACTGGGGGAGAGGCTCTGGACACGACCCTCACTTGCTTCTCCCACCACTGATGACTGGGGGAGAGGCTCTGGACACGACCCTCACTTGCTTCTCCCACCACTGATGACTGGGGGTGAGACTCTGGAGACGACCCTCACTTGCTTCTCCCACAACTGATGACTGGGGGAGAGGCTCTGGACACGACCCTCACTTGCTTCTCCCACCACTGATGTCTGGGGGTGAGACTCTGGACACGACCCTCACTTGCTTCTCCCACCACTGATGGCTGGGGGTGAGACTCTGGACACGACCCTCACTTGCTTCTCCCACCACTGATGGCTGGGGGTGAGACTCTGGACACGACCCTCACTTGCTTCTCCCACAACTGATGACTGGGGGAGAGGCTCTGGACACGACCCTCACTTGCTTCTCCCACCACTGATGACTAGGGGTGAGACTCTGGACACGACCCTCACTTGCTTCTCCCACCACTGATGTCTGGGGGTGAGACTCTGGACACGACCCTCACTTGCTTCTCCCACCACTGATGACTGGGGGTGAGACTGGACACGGCCCTCACTTGCTTCTCCCACCACTGATGTCTGATGATGACTGTCGTAAATATTGAGATATTCTTCTTCCACGTCTTCTTTCCCCCTCAAGGTGTTACAGTGTCATCAGTTGCTATCAGCACCATCTCACCCCTGAGCACTACGTCCACTGGATTAAAGAAACGTGTGGTGAACCGTATACCCGCCAGTTTACCTGTGACACAACTGCTCCAGTCTGTGTTCATGATGTATCGATCTCGTGGAAGTTCTCCTGAACTACTGCTCGAGTAAAACATACAAATGTATACCTCTGAACATCCACCTCGATATGAATATATATATATACCTGACCAGCATAAGGTAAGGAATATTACAGAAAACTATCAAATTAGTTTTTAATGGTAGATAAATGAAGAGGTCTATAAGCTATCAACGATAGGTTACTAAAACTTGAAAAAAGAAAAGAGAAATGAAGCCAGAAAATGACCAGGAAATAGTTATTAAAAATACGAAGCTGTACCAAACTACTGGAATATCTGAAGTAATAATAATAATAATAATAATAATAATAATAATAATAATAATAATAATAATATCTTTATTTACTACAAGTACATGTACAAGGTATACAAGTACATGTACAAGGTATACAAGTACATGTACAAGGTATACAAGTACATGTACAAGGTATACAAGTACATGTACAAGGTATACAAGTACATGTACAAGGTATACAAGTACATGTACAAGGTATAAAAGTACATGTACAAGGTATACAGGTACATGTACAAGGTATACAAGTACATGTACAAGGTATACAAGTACATGTACAAGGTATACAAGTACATGTACAAGGTATACAAGTACATGTACAAGGTATACAAGTACATGTACAAGGTATAAAAATACATGTACAAGGTATACAGGTACATGTACAAGGTATACAAGTACATGTACAAGGTATACAAGTACATGTACAAGGTATACAAGTACATGTACAAGGTATATACAAGTACATGTACAAGGTATACAAGTACATGTACAAGGTATACAGGTACATGTACAAGGTATACGAGTACATGTACAAGGTATACAAGTACATGTACAAGGTATACAAGT